TAGCAAGAGTAGCGATGATTGGGTAAAGTAGATACCAAGCTACATGGAGACCTCTAAGAACAGGAAAGAAATAGAAAACTAACACCATTCTTCCAGAGCTAACAGAGAATTCTCTCCTCTAGAGCCATCAAGCTGATTCTGAACTTGCAACCTCTTCACTATGAGAAAAAAAAAGTATGTTTGTTAAAGCCATCCACAGTTAGTATTTCTGTTATAGCAGACCTAGATAACGGATACATATTTTATATTGGCAAAGAGGTATATACTTCACTAGAATAGACACCCACAATTTGAAAGCAGTTTTTGAATTTGGTGGTGAGGGGAGACTAAGAATTTGAAAGTATTCTAATGGCCTGTTGGTAAGGATTTGCACTGCCTATTCAAAGGCATGTGGTTCAAATCCACCAGCTGCTCTACTGGAGAAAAATGGACACTCTCGCCCTGTTTGAATTTTAGGCTCTGAAAGCCCACTTGAAGGTTACCTATGAGTCACTTGTGACTCAATAGCACATAATAGCAACAACAAAGTAAAAGGCTAAATTGCCTTGAAGTGGCTGTTGGCTCTCAAGGAAGTGAAGGGAGCTATAGAAAATGCTGTTATCTATGTAGAGAATGCATATTGCTCCAATAGAAGAATGTTGCTAGAAAGGTGACCATTAAATGTACTTAGGAAGGGACTTTCAAAGACAATAATGTGATCTTACAGTGGAGGAAGGGTGATACATTTTATGCAGTGAGAACTTGTCTGAATTGTGTTCAGATGTTTAATGGAATGTATGCTTATAAGTGATGAACTTGGATATCTGGCTGACACAATGTCTAAACAAGATATTAAAGGACTTATGGGGTTTCTCCTTGCTGCTCTTAGTAAAGTGTGAATGGGACTAGATGAACTTAAAAACCAACTGTGCAAAATGAAAATGAAAGTTTCTGAAAGATTTCAAAAATTTTGTTGTTTAGAGTGAGAATATATGTTTTACAATATTTACCAAGACTTGATTAAACAATCTTTAACTAAAGAGAGTAAACCTGTGACTAGCGGACCCAACCAACTAACACAACAGAAAACCTATCAACTCTGAGTGAAGAAACAGAGAAAAAAATTAAAGAGTACTTTCTGCCTGCCTCTTGGAATTCTCCAGGCAGTAAACAGAAGAGAGATATATAGATAGATACACAGAAGATATATGTATACAGAAGATATATGCAAACAGAAGATATATATATACACACACACACACACACACACACACACACTTTTCCCCCCCCACATAAATATATATTTAACCTCCAAGAAGGCAAACAGCTCAAAGTAAGCAGAACTCTTGACCATTGCAAGGGAAGCAAAGCTGCTATCTCAAAGGTTGGAACCATAACCTCTAGAATGTCAAAGAGTTACACAGAGTCAGATCATACCAAACTCAGTTATGGAGTGTGAGGTTACCATTCAGTTTAGCCAAGAAGGTGGGGCCACTGCCCAAAGGTGAGGGAAGGGATTGCCATACCCGAGGGTCAGAAGAATAGGATGTGTTAACTACTTAAATGGAGTAGAATAAGGCGACCTAAAGCCAAGGGTTTGGAGGAAGACTTTTTAATAACTTGAGTTATGAAGATGACACAGCTTTTCTTGCTGAAAGTGAGGAGGACTTGAAGCACTTGTTGCAGAAGGTCAAGGAACGCAGCCTTCAGTAGAGATTGCATCTCAATGTCAGGAAAACAAAGTTTCTTACCACTGGACAGATAGGCAACATCATGATGAGAAAAGATTGAAACTGTTAACTTCATCTTTCTTGGATCCAAAGTTAACACTCTTGGTACCAGAAGGCAGGAATTAGGAGACCCATTTCACTGGGAAAACCTGCAGTTAGGGACCTCTTCAAATTATTGAGGCATAATAATGTCAGTTTGAGGACTAAGGTGTGTCTTGATTGTGGCTGTGGTCTTTCTGATCACTTACTATGCATGTGACAGCTGGACAGTGGATAAGGATGATGGGAGAATTGATGCCCTTGATCTGTGGTGTTAGAGAAGAACACCGAATAGCCCATGGGTAGCCAAAAGAACAACAACAACAAAATATATCTTGGAGAGGGTACAGTAAGAGTGCTCTTTGGATGCAAGGATAATGAGGCCTCACATACTTTGGGCATGTTGCTAGGAGGGGCTGTTCCTTGGAGAGGGACATGATGGTTGGAAAGGAAGAGGAAGACTCAAAGCTAGGTGGATTGACACAGTGACTGCCACAATGGGCTCTAATGTGTCAGGAAGTGGGAGGATGGATGGCACAAGAAAAGACAGGATTCATATCTGTTGTTCCTAGGGTCACTATGAATCAACTCAACTGGAGGGCATCTAACAATAGCAACAAAGCAAAGGGAGCTCTGGTGATGTAGTGGTAAGAAACTGTACTGCCATCCCAAGGACACACAGTTCAAATCTACCAGCTGCTACGGAAAATAAGGATAGTCAGTCTTCTCCCGTGCAGTTAACTATCTCTGAAAACTTGCTGGAGGGTCAGCTATGGTCAGTTCTGACTCGATGGAACACAACAACAACAAAGCCAAGGGATCAAAGTTGTAGTTCCAGTGGGCCTGGAAGGTGTTGCTGAAGCACAGATCTGAGAAGCTTCCACCCAGAATCAAAGAGTGTGGCCAACACCCAGAGTCTGGAAGGCAGGACTATTGCCCAGATGGCCTCAGATAACAAGTATTTGGCAGTCTTGTGAAGTTATTGCTTAGTTTTTACTATCCTTTCTTTCCCTCCATTTTATAGCCTAGATTTCACAGGTAAAGAAGAATTTTACATGATAGAATACACCTTGATTTAGGTGATTCAGAAGACACTTAGAAAGGGAATTCAGATTTTTTTGGAGGATGGGAAGGGATGTATGTGTTTAACAAATGTTAAGGACATGGATATGAGAAGGCCAAAGAGTTAGCTGAATGTTATCTATTGAATATTGAATTGTGTTCCTACAAATAAATGCTACTGTTGGTGTCAAAAGTTAAAATCACAATGACAGATAGGTTGCCTTTGTTATGTTAATGAGACCCAATTAGTACTGGGGGGGGTATATTAAATCAATCTCTTTGGAGATAGAAAAAAGATTAAAGGATAGCGCAGAAGTAGAGACAGAGGAAGATAGATGCCATGACACCTGGTAATCTCTAAGGATCCAGGACACAAGCAGAAAAACAAAGATTTTTCTGCAGAGGCAACAAAGAGGGAGAAGTGGCCTTCTGAATTTGGACTTCATGCTTTTAGCAAAGTAACTACAGTTTGGTAAGTAAGCCATCTGTTTCAGTGTCTCTAGAGCATTAAAAAGCTCTGGTGGCATTGCCAGTTCAAAAGTATGCCGTTCAAATCCAACAGCAGAGGATAGATAGGCAGTCTGCCCCTGTGCAATTTACAGCCTCTGAAAACCCTTTGGAGGGTCTGTTCCGGATCAGTTCTGACCTGACGGGACTCAGCAGCAACACATAATTAAGACTTTGTTGTCTTTTATTTTCAATGTTTTATGTTCACTCAAACTTTGTTGTCATTTATTTTCAATGTTAAGTTATTTTGAGTCTTTAGTAATTCTGTATAAAATTGAAGATTTTCACTGAAAGGACAGATTGCTTTAAAGAGTAAGGATATTTTAGCAATGTTAAATCATCCAATCCATGAACATGGACTGTTTTTCCATGTATTTCATTCTCAATCTCTTTCACCAGTGTTATATAGGTTTGTTATTTGCTGTGGAGCCAGAACCAACCCATAGCTGACCCTCCAGCTAGTTTTCAGAATCTTTTAATGTCATAGGAGGAGATTGTCCATCCTTCTCCTGAGGAGTAGCTGGTAGATTTGCAATGTGTGCTGTAGGGATTGCAGTGCAGCTTCTTATCACCAGGCACCAGAGCCCCCTGTGTTTTAGTCTTCATTACATAAATCCTTTGTGTCCGTGGTTCTAGGTATTCTGTTCTCTTAAATGATATTGTAAATAAAATTAATTATTTCCCCAATGTTGTCAATGATATAAATATCTTTGCATTTATTCTTTTTGGGGTGCTTTGAGCTTCTTGGGTTTATAGATTGAGAAATTTTTCCATCATTGTTTCTTCAAATAATGTTTCTTTCTCTTATTCCCTTCTGGAATCCTGTGAGAGTCAGTCTGTTTGTCTGTCTGTCTATCTATCTATCATCTATCTCTTGTCTCATAATTTCATTAATTTTTACTGAGTCTTTTTGCACTTTTGTTTTCTTGCACTTCAGTGACTGTAATTTGATTTCTTTTATCCTCTAATTCACTGATTCATTCTTCTACCCTATTAATTTTTTATTTCTTCTATTGTGTAACTTCAGTTATTGCCCTTTTCAGTTGCTTTATGTCTTTTTTTTAGATCTTCATTTTATTCTTGTATGATTTTATTTTTTTAGCTTTTTATATATGTTTTCCTTTGGTTCTTTAGAATCAGGTAGAAGAAAGGATTTTCTAGAATTTGTGCTGCACTTTGATCAGAAAAAAAATGTTACTTGTTTACATATGTAGATAAGTAAAATCAATTCCTTTTTTTCCATTAAAAATTTTTCTCATGTGCTTTTATTTGTTCATATTAACTACCCTTGTAAATATCACAAGGAATTGTCTTACTCTGTGTGTCTGAATTATTTGCACAAGTTTCCTGCAGGGCTGTTTGGTGTTTGTTTTTGTTTGTTTGTTTGTTTGTTTGTTTTTTGCCCTTTTGACTACTCAGAATGATTTCTCATTGCAGTAGATTGATAGAAAATGGTAATTTAAAAAATACATTTCAGAAATCCACTTAATTGGAGGAAAGCTCTCACCTTTTGGTCTTCTAACTGAATTTTAAAAATCTGCTCATTTTTCAAACAGGATGGCCAGGTAATTTGGATGAGAGTCATGCATGTTCTGTAGTTTTCTCTGGAAAAGCTAGCAGTCTTGCATACCCGAGCTAACAGAAAGCTGTTCTTTCTTCTGCTTTGACGTGATGGGTGCACAGAGGAGGCGGTGAATGAGGTGAAGCGCCAGGCAATGACCGAGTTGCAGAAGGCCGTGTCCGAGGCTGAACGGAAAGCCCACGACATGATCACGACAGAGCGGGCCAAGATGGAGCGCACGGTGGCTGAGGCCAAGCGGCAGGCGGCGGAGGACGCGCTGGCGGTCATCAACCAGCAGGAGGATTCGAGCGAGGTAAGGAGGGGGCCGGGGCTGCTTCATCGAGGGGGCAGCTATGACCTGCTCGCTTGGTTCCAGAAGATCATAAATGAAAACTGAGCTTGGACTTTGTCCAGGAAAACCCAAGCAAAAGCAACCACAGTAGATTCCAGGGAGCTCTGGTGGATGGAGTAGTAGGTAGCGAGTTTTGCTGTTAACCCAAAGGGGGTACCTCTGTCTTTGAATCCACCACCCATTCTTGGGGGGTCGGAGGAAAGAACATTTTAGATAACACAGTTTGGAAACTTGGAATTGACTGAGCACTGACCAAGTTGTGCTTCTTAAAGATTTAGAGGGAAAACTTTTTGCTAAAAAGGAAAGGAAGGAAATTGGGTAAAAATGTTTGGTAGGAAGCAAGTTAAATGGAAACTCTTACAATTTTTTGACAGGATTTAGAAACTGAAAACTACATATGAAGTGTGTGTGTGTGTGTGTGTGTGTGTGTGCGTGCGTGCGCGCGCGCGCAAATGTATCCGTGCCAGCATATATGCATGGCTCTTGTCTAACAGAAGTGATTTCAGAGACACTGTTAAGGTGACGTCTCCAAAGACATTGCATTACACGAGTTTGAAGCCATTTCTTTAACTGCTGTTTCTTTAGAGTCTGAGTTTTGGTGTTATTTCTGGTAAGCATTAACATGGTTGTATCAAACATAGCCTAACATTACTGCCAGAGATTCTACTTAATACTACTCTAGCCTAACTCGGATCCACACACATGTAACCGACATGGCCTTTCCACAATGATCTGGAATGTAAGTAAAACACAGCATATAAGTGCATACATTTTCAATTGTAGTTTATGCATTCAGAGCAATATAGCAATGATCTATATTAATCAAGACAGCACCAGAGTCTCCTCACCCCTAAGTATGTTTAGATAGAGGGCTACAATTAGTGACTCACACCGAGCTGACCTAGCAAAAGCATGAACTGATAAATCAATGCTCTACTAGAATACATATCTGTAATTTGTGAGGGAGAGTAAAGATTTAATTTGAACCAGGCTTCTCTGTAGATGAAAGACCCTGCGGGAATCACTAGATGCCCAGAGTTTCTATTTAATGTGTAGCAGATGAATAACAAGGGGACAAAAGGAATTGATTTTCAACATTTGAAAGTTTCTTGGAAAATAGGGACAAAGGGAAGTTTATCTACCCTTTAACTGCTGACTTTCCATTGTTGAATTAAACCAGACATAAGTTCAATTTTATTGGCATTTTGCTCCTAAGATATTTTAAGGACCTTGTATTGTGTGTGTAGGTTATTTTTAAATTTTTTTTTTAATTTATGATCATTTTTGCAAAGACCTTGTCATGCTCTATTTAAGATAACAATATTGTGTGCCACAGTTTTGCCATCATTAAAACATTATCACTTTAACATGAACATTTTAGGGCTGTTAGACTATGTTAGAAGTATTTTGTAGGTCACTAAATTCTAAAGATAAATCTTTAAGAAGAAATTGTGAATTAAATACCTTTATCTTTATAGTCTGGTAGTAGCATGTGTCTATCTATATTTCTTGTACCTTGATTCCTAAAACCTGTGTAGAAAGATATATGATCTTGACACCAATGTTTAACGTGAGCAAAACATTTAGTGTATCAAATAGGGGTTAGGATAAATAGTAGACATAATGAAATAATCTATGAGCGATCTTTTTTCATTCATGTACACTGTGCTTTATGCAATCATTCATTTCAATATGTTTCATACAATTATTCATATATATCATATTCCATATAATTGATTACTGTTGAGCTAAGCCTGTTACTACCCTGTCTCCTCGAGTGTTCATTGAATCTTTTCTTTTCCTTCACAAAGTGTCTCTCTTTTTCTCTCTCATACACACACACATATCCACCTACCAAACTCTGCTATTCTCCTGATTCTTACCCTTGCATCTTTAAGGTAATTGTCTACAGGTTTTTGTGGGTTTTTTTTTTTCTCTTTGCTTTCTTTCTATTTGGTTTTCCTTGGAAAATTGATCTTTATTTACATGGTTGCACTTTAATATTATTTTCCATGACACTTTCCTAAGAGATTTAAAGCTGGTTGTGTTAGAGGAAAACTTTTGGAATTCAGAGACCAGATTTAGGTCCTGACTCCATCATCTCTTACACACTAGCTGGCCTTGAAGGAATCACTAAACTTCTTAAAGCTTTAGTCTTACCATGATTGAGAACTTAGTAAATATGCTTCTTACAGTCAAAGGTTTAAGTACAAAATTATAACTTGAAGAGACACGATAATGTTAACATTTTATAGGTAAAAAAAAAATAAAAATGGAGACTCATTCAAGTTAATTGAGTAGACCCAAGTTACAAAACTATTTAAAAACAGAATCGAAACTTGAGCTCCCAGTTTGCTCTTAGTCATTATATTGTTATTTCATAGGGATCATCAAGGTAATTTTTTATTAGATTGTTAAAGAAAGGCAACTTAATTATCTAGAGTCTTACCTCCATTCCTTTTGAACTGAAAGGCAAGTTTTAAGATGATGGAATTACGCAGACTCCCCTCCCCACCACTCTGCCCCCCAAAATGTAGTTATTATATGTAGCTGTTTTCCTCGAGAATACAAGAGGGAAAGAGGAAAACAAGATTTCACTAGAGTGAAATGAAAATGACTTTAAATTGTATATAAATCTGCACATATTATAAAAGTTATTTCAAACCAATAGAAACTAAATGTTAAAAATGCATATAAATATATATTTTCTTCCATGTATAGTGCCCAGCAAATAAAAGAATTCATTGTATTTTAATAACTTAGTGAGTTGACAGAGAAATGTCATGAATCCTTCCTAGGTATGTCCCAGGATTGACCCTGTGTAGCATGGTGGGATCAGCCTATACCTTTTGCCAAATTGATGGCATAAATTTGGAGTTTTTAGTTAAGAAGTCTTTGCTCTTTATTTCTGAGGGAACTGCATTGTTTTTCTGCAGCCAGCCCTCCCTCACTCTCAGGATTGAGCACTTTTTAATAGGAACAGCCTGTAAAAGCCACCTCAACCGTGCAGGTTGAAGTAACCAAGTCTAGAACACATTCTGTTTCCTTCCCAAACAGTCCTGCTCAAGTTCTGACATTCCTGGGCTAGAGTGCAACTGTTAGTAGATGCCAATGTGTTGATCCCAGTGCTTAATGGAGCAAAAGGCTTTCTAGTCCTTCATCATGTCCACATTGATTGTAAATCAGGCTGGATCATTGTAATCCAGAAGATTCTCATAGCTTGCTTTTTCAGAAGTACTTTGATGGGCCTTTCTTTCTAGTCTGCCTTAGTGTGAACACTCTGCTGAATCCCACTGATCATCATAGCAACATTCAAGCCTCCACTGATGGGAGGGGTAGTGGCTGCATGTGAAGTGAACTGCCTGAGAATCAAACCTGGGTCTCCGCTATAGAAGGGGATAATTGCACCACTGAACCTCTGTGGTGCCCAGTGACCCAGCTAATCTGCAGAGATTGCGTGACCTAGTGGCAGGAAGCTGTGCTGTATTCCCAAAGGCATACGTTTGAATTTACCAGCTGTTCCATGGGGGAAGGATGGACAGTCTCCTCCAGTGCAATTAACTGCCTGCTGGAGGGTCACCTATTGATTCCGACTTGACTGTATACAACAACAACAACATGACTTTATACTTTAGGAATTTTGATGAATATAAGCCATTCAAGCTCAAATAAGGGCAACAAATCATTGTAGATTAGAAATCTTATAATTGCTTATTATTTGCTTAGGAGAAATAAAAGGGCTCTCCAGCATGGTAATTGGTTGAATTAAAAAACAAAATAGATATTAAATGTAAGACTAATTGATCTTAAAACTACACTCACAAAGTAATAGACATCCTAACATAAGCACATGTTTATGGCCTGCCAGGGAGGTTTGCTTGATTACTAATAACCGAGCATTCATCTACTCTTTTACCACGTACTGTGAGCATCTACACCATGTCAGGGATAGTGCCAGTAACTGAGGCTACAGTGATAAATAAGGTGGACATAGTTTTATTACTACACTTTATGAAAAGAGTCAAATAGTTAGGAAGGGTATAGGACAACACCTATAAGAATCATAATAAAGTTTAACTTGAAAGTTTATGGATAAAAAGGATATTTTCACTGACACTTAGAATAAGGGATCCCTTCATGATTCAGAGCAGAGAAGAGGAGGAGAAATGGTCAAGGACATTTTCACAAGGCTTGAAAGCAATGGCTATGTGACTGGAGGACATTTTTAAAGGGTCATGATTTAAGTGATCATTTAAAGGCTCATTTTTAAAGGCTACAGTGTAGAGGGATTAGAGGAGGCAAAAGGAAGAAACAGTTTGCTTGCAGTTGTTGTTGTTTACCATGAGTCAGAACCAACATATAGCAGACCCTCCAGCAAGTTTTCAGAGACAGTAAATTGCCCTGGAGATTGTCCATCCTTCTCCTGTGGTGGATTCGAACCATGTGCTTTTGGGATTACAACGTTTCTTACCACTGGACCACCTTTGCTTCAGTAGTCCTGGAGAAAAATGAGTGAGGACAGAGCTTGGATGAGGGTGGCAGTACTGAAGATGGAGAAAATGTCTTGTGCAGCTAGAAGCAAATGAGAATTGCTAGGCCTTGGTGACTGCTTAGCTTTAAGAAAAGGAAGAGAAGACCCTCCACCAGTTTTTCAGTGCACATAAACCAGACTTGCTAGCAAAGCCTTAATGCTTTCTTGCTTTGCTTTGCCTAGACCATATGTGAGGATTTTGGAGAGAGCTGACCCATGCTCATTTCCTTTTGTATAAAAAAATACAAATTAAAAACTCAAATCAGTTATTTAATTCAGCAACACAGATAAATATTTTCTGTGAATTAGGGAGGATAACGGATAAAGATTTAAGAAGTCAGCCTATTTAATGTGAAAGTATAGCACATTGTAGTGTGTGCACATTGTTTGAAAGATAGGACTCAGTGTGACCACACATTCCAGTGAGTGA